GGTTGGCCATAGCGAACTTTTGCGAACAAGTGCAGGGGAGGGGTAGACATCTTAAGAAGGTTCGCATTTAGATATTTTATTTTTTAACGGTGTGGGGGCGGGGGGGGTTAGCGGTTAGAGAAATGCTAACGTATTTTTAAAAAAATAATAACTATAGGCGAACAATTGCGATTATAGGGGGAGGGAGAGAGGGGGGTCTAGATTTCTTTAAAAAAATTCGAAAGGTAATATGTGAATCGCCCCTTATAATTAGTTCATAATTTTATATTATTTTAATTAATTGCATTTATAAACTGATTGTTTTTTAATTACAATAATAATAGGGTTCGTAAAAATTTTTCATCCAAATTGTGTCCAGTAATGACCCGCGAGATCAATGATGGAGAGTCCGCTAGATTTCAAATATGCAATAAATTTGAAAGAGAAGTATATATCATATTATATGAAAATATTTATTTATTTTACTATAAATTAATTTTTTATAAATATTTTATTTATTTTAAAATAGATGAACGAATGATATTAAGTAATATATTTATTTTTAATAAATTATGAAATGAAATAATAATATTATAAATGAAAAAATATATGTTTTGAATTCAAAAAATAAACAAATTTGTTTTTAATTACTATATTTATTATTATAATAATAATAATAAAAGATATTTTATTTGTATTATAAAAATATTAATATACAGTTAAATATTTTTTTATTATATAATAATTAGTGTTTGTAATGATTTCCTTCCATAATAACAACAATTTTTTAAAGTATAATTAATAATCTCATTGATAAACATTTATTATTTAAAAAAAATATATGTATATAAAATACTAGTATTTTATACTTATTTGTATATATATTATTTGTTACATTAATTAATTAATGTATGCATTAAATTTTATGTATATATATTTAAGCAATTGAAAAAAATTGATACATTATATTAAGTATAATTATTTTCAAAACATATCTAAATAGTTTAATTAAATAATTTTTGATTTCAATGGCAAACACAATCAATGCAATCGGCAGTAGTGTTAGATATGGTCCCAGTGCTACAGTGCATACTGTCCAATAGCATACTTGAGTCATAGAGATCATCGATTGATGAGATTAAAAAATTTATCAAGCTGAAATTGTTGGATCAAATAATTGCAACTACTAGTATACCATCATGTCATATAGTGACCAGTATCATGCGATTGTATTAAACTTTTTTTGTTAGGATATTTTAAAACAATTTTAAAAAAAAAATAAAATTAAAAATAATAGTTTAATATAAAAAAATATAATTATTTGTTGTTGTTGTTAATTTAATCAGATACATACATATCACGATAGTGCTTATACACTATATGTTGTTATGTTTATTGACTACATGTGCTTAACCGACCATTTGGTAGGCGTCACGCGATGCGTGCAATAATTGATTGTATTGAATGCTAAATAAATTTACATGGACAATGTTTGCTAAAATAATTAACGATTTTTTTTGATGATTGTATTTCAATTAAAATTTCATTTAAATTATTAATAGTATTATCGAAATTGTTTTCAATTAATAGCTGAACAGTTGATTGTTTTAGTATTTGTTTTTCAATATTAGTTGATTTTATCTAAAATTTCTGTAACTGAAAGTAACTGAAAAAAAATTGAAATGAAATATCGTAAGTGTCTGTTGAAATCTAAAAGGCGACTGACTTCATCTTATTCTCCTTTAGAATAGCCATTTCCTTTGACTGAGGCTCGTTTGGATATCAGGCCTGTTGTATTATTTTGCCGATTTTCAAGATCTACTTTTAATATTATATTCGATTTTTGAATTTATTTTATTAATGGTTTCTTTTAAATTATCTTTCCAATGAATTTCTTTTTTTTTATGTACAATTTGATATTTTTGCATTTATAGTTTTACCAAGTGAATAAGTTAGATCAATTTCAACAAGAAATTCAGTTATATTGTTTAATTTATCTTCATCATCTACAACAGTCATTTTTTATATCATCATAAAACGTTTCTGGAATCCATTTAAAATGATAAGTACCAAACTTTCTATTGTTTTTTTCAAATCGTCTTTTTGTTACAATTAGCTCTCCTTAAGTACATTCTTGTGGTTGCTTAAAAATTATTAGTGGATTATAATCTACTTCTATATTACATTCATTATTATCATTTGTTAAATAAAAATATTAATTGTCATATTCATAATTACACTTCTTTATTAAATTTTAAGTAATTCTTTTGCATAATAAAATCATATAATAATAATATTTTTTATATCTTTAATTTTATATTTATAATAAGGTGATATGAATAGTATTTTATGTATTATTAATATTTCTTCACTATAATTATATATATATCCTTTTTCAAATATATTTCTTAATAATTGAATTCTAACACTGTCACCAAATTGAAATTTTCTTGAGGTGTATAAATTTTATATAATTTCTATATACAAACTTTTCATTGTTTTTTGACACATCTATTGGTTTTTATTTACTTCTACTATGAATTGTATTATTATATTTTTTTATTACATTATTAAAAACATTAACAAATTTAATAGGATTATTAAGATACAAATATTTATATAATTTTGATTTTATTGTTAAATTTCTCAACAACTCTCGCTTTAGCATTATCTTTTAGAACTAAATGTTTTATTTTTTGCTCCATTTTAAATATTTTTTAATGCTTTAATTTGTAAATTCACGTTCTGCGTCAGTCGACAATATACTCGGCTTCCTTTTTCTTGAGTTAAATATTTTAATAAATGCTGTTTTCACTGTTTTACCTGTTCTCTCTGTCTGTCTGTGTCTCTCTTTCTCTCTCTCTCTGTATCTTCACTTTATCTTATTCTCTCTCTGTAATGTAAATATATATATAATAACTATAAATTATATAAAATAATTTAAAAATAAATTAAAATAAATTATTAAATTAAACAAATTTTATCACAAATATCACAAAATTTAAACAAAAAAAATATTTGGGTAATTTCTCTATCTCTCTCTCTCTCTCTCTCTCTCTCTCTCTCTCTCTCTCTCTCTCTCTCTCTAGTATTTTACTTTATAAATAATTATTTAAAAAATGTATAAAATATATAAAATGAAAAAATATATTATTTAATTTTTTAAAAAATGAAAATAAAAAAACCATATTTTCATAATTTAAAAAAAGTGTACCGGGATAATGGCATGTAATGGCACAAACACCATAAAAAATTTTATGTGTGTAAATTATTTGTTAAATTTTAAATTCTCTTAAAATCGGCAGTTAAAATTTTTGAACCGATTATTGTCATCTCAACTTTTATAGATTAGTGGCATCGATGACGTAATCAATCCTCTCTTGCTTATACTAAAGTTTCTCTTTTCTATAACAAATTTTTACCGAAATTATAAAAACTAACAGTATTTATATTAGTTCTTTCAAAGCATATTCTAGTATAATAAAATAAAATATAGACATTTATTTATACATTTTAAATACAATAAAAATAACAAATATATAATATATAACTTATGCTATTGACAACCATACAAAAGTATAATAAAACAACTATATATGGAATGCATTTTAACTGTAATAAAACAAAGGCTAACATTACTTTCGTATATATTTTAACGGCAATTAAACAAATGCAACACTAACAATACTAACTGTAGCATTAATAGTGTATACATTTATTATATAAAGGTTGCAAACAAATAACACGTTATCAGTTGTTTTCCAGTGGTCATTGAGTTCATACCTCACATTCTCTCGCTTTGTTTTTGTTACTGTAGTTATTTGTAAATTTAAAACTATGTAACATTTAAGGACTGAATGCATTCCATTTATTTACGACAACGAAGATTATAACACAAATGATATTAAATTTTACATATATTATAATTGTGTTAATAATTATATTTTTTTTAAATTTCAGAACAAATTGACTTAACATTAAAATCCGATGCCAATGATTTGCTTGGCGATGTCGATGAGCAATGGGGATCCGAAAACTTTACCGCCCGATGCCTCAATCAACTTAATAGCATGTTGCTAAAAGTCAACAATATGCTGGAAAAACATTCGGGACCATGAAAATGACCCATACTTACCTCAATCATCACCATCCATCGCCGTACGGACCGTATTCTGGACAAGAATTTTCACCTTAAACCTCAACACCAGTGAACGATTTTGCACCACCGCCTTTTGAATCACAAAAATTTAGCAAAAGGCACGCCTTAAACACATGTTTATCCCTCTCTCTCATTGTAGATATTATTAATATTATTATATATTACTGTAGACTTTATTTTGAAGTAGTATTAGTAGTAGTTGTAGTGTAGTGTGAGTAAAACCCATGCGATTGAGTTAAGAGGGGAGTGTGTGAGATGCGCGCTGAATGTTTTATTGCATTTTTATATATATACCCATTAAGGCCGGTTTTTAAGCCAAAACAGTTTTTATTACTTATTACTTATTTTATATTTTTATTTATATTTTTATATATTTATTTATTTTTTAATATATTTTAATTAATTATTAAAATGCAATTTAATTTTTGCATATTTTTTTGTTTATGTGTTTGTGTGTTTTAAAAGTTATTATGTATGTGTTTGGATATATGTAAATGCTTTTGATTATTTATGTGTCTGTGTTTGTATATGTATGTGTGTATGATATGTAATTTGTATGAATTTTATATGTTTTTTTGTTTGTGTGTTAATGTATTTGTTTGTATGTGATTTATATGTTATTTATAATTTTTTTTGTTTATGTATTATTTATTGTCGTTTTTGTGATTGTATTTGTATGTATTTATATTTATGTGTTGCAATAGTTTTGTGTATTTTATATGTGTTTATAAAAGTATTGTAAGTATGTATATATTGTTTTTATAGCATTTATCTTTATATGTTGTATGTGTGTGCTATATTTCACCCTATTATTACATTTTTCCCAACATTTAACCCTTTTTCCACCACCCAAATATTTTATTTTTATAACTATTCCTACTATGTATTTTTATATGTGCGTGCGTATTGTGCTATATATGTTTATGCTATATATGCTATGTATGTGTGTTTGTGTTGTGTTATATGATTGTGTTGTATGTGTTTTGTATGAAAGATATTTTATTGTATTTATTTAGTTATGTATATATATCTGTATATTTTTATGAATGTTTGTTTGTGTGTACAGTATATATGTTTTGCTTTAAAGTTATTTTTATTGTATTTATATATATATATATATTTATATGCGTGTTTGTGTTATAATGTTTAAATTTTAATCTTTTATAACCCTCCCTCCCTTTATTTTATTACTTAAATTTTCCCTCCACCATTTTAAAATTAACCCTTTTTTACCCCCACCCAAAAACTACCGTTTAATAGATTTACAATATAAACAGGTGAGTATTTATATCCTGGTTTTGCGTTTACAAGTAATACTTTAGGCTATGAATACTCTCCTGGGATTAGCTGATGCTAACCTTATCCCACTTCTACTAATTACT